TCATCAGGCGGACGAACCTCGTCAGGCGGACAAACCTCGTCTGGTAGACGAACCTCGTCAGACGGACAAACCTCGTCTGGCAAACGAACCTCGTCTGGCAAACGAACCTCGTCAGGCGAACAAACCTCGTCTGGCAAACGAACCTCGTCAAGCGGACAAACCTCGTCTGGCAAACGAACCTCGTCAAGCGGACAAACCTCGTCTGGCAAACGAACCTTGTCAGGCACCGTTTCAAAGGGTTACATTAAATGAGGGTTAATGACCAATAACTCACCCCTTTAAGGAGAGTTAATGACTACTAACTCACCTATTTAAGGAGAGTTAATGACCTCATTTAACTGGGAGTTAATGACCACTAACTCCTTCGTTATAAGAGGAGTTAAAGCCCATTAACTCACTTCATAATACTCCCAAGCCTATAAATAGGCATGATCAACATGAAAGAAGGAGGGGATTGAGAGGCTAAATAAAAAAAAGCCTATCTTTCGTCCACTCTCATTGATCTTCATAGATCATCGGCTAATTATTTGACCTTGTGGGCACTAAAAATGCCAAGAGATAGACGAGGGTCACTACCCATTATAGCGAACCTCGTCAATGAAGACGAACGTCGAGGTTCATTTGAAATTCAAGTTTGAACTCATCGAAGCTCGAAACTCACCTACGCAGTGAGGTTCGATATCAGAAACGAGGTTCGCCATGCAGCGAAGTTCGGCATCAAAGACGAGGTTCACCAACACCTCGAAGCTCGTCACTTATATTAAATCAAGCTGTAATGGCCACGAAGACCCAGTCAGCTACGTGGGCTAAGTTGTAGGCGTCGGTTACGCCCACGATCCATGATTCTAGCACGTCGGTTACGTGCTAAAACTCCTATAAATAGCCTCGAGCAGCTATTAGGAGGGGGGTTGGGGGTTGATTATCAATTAATTGGAGATTAGAGAGTATGAGTGATTGTAAGGGTTTCGTACCAAGTGATCGAACCCATTTCTTAAAACAGCTCGACATCAAAGATGAGGCTCGCCATGTAGCGAGGCTCGACATCAAATACGAGGCTCTCCACACAATGAGGCTCAACATAAAGGACAAGGTTTGCTAATGCAGTGAAGTTCGTCACCCACATTAAATCAGGCTGTAACGGCCACAAAGACCCAGTCAGCGACGTGGGCTAGATTCAAGGAGTCAGTTACGTCATGACTCCACAATTTTAGCGCATCAGTTACGCCCACGATCCCACTATTGTAGCACGTCGGTTACGTTCTTAAAACCCTATAAAAAGCCATCGAGGGCTAGGGAGAAAGGGTTAGTGAACTGATTATCAATTAATTGAAGATTTTCAAGCTTGGACTTAGAGAAGCATCAAAGATCAAAGTTTTTGCACATCGATCAGGAGTTCGAACCTCGATTCCAGTCGGCAAACGAAGATCAGAAGCTCTTACAATCTTGGTCTGATCGTCAACGAGAGGCAAGCTCGACTCAAGCATCGGGGGAAGCATCCTTTCGCCACCTAGAACCCACCTTAAACAAAAGAGAAGTTGAATTAATCTTCTCTTCCTCTGTAATCGAGAGAGAGTGAGTGATTGTAAGGGTTCGTACTAAGTGATCGAACCCAATTTTCTTAAAACAAGAGAATCAATCAATCTTAAATTTTTCGACCCTACAAGCGTATTTGATATTTTCCCAACAACTAGTATTAGAGTCCTTGTTCAGATCTGTGTGTGTAAGAAATGGCAGAAGAAGGTAAATCAAAAATTAAGAAGTTTGACGGATCAGACTTCGCCTACTGGAAGTCACGGATGGAGGACTATCTGTATCAGAAGGATCTTTACCGTTCGTTGATGGGTAAAGCAAGAGGAAAGAAGAAAGAAGAATCCGACGAGGACTGGGAAATATTGGATCGAAAAGCCCTAGGGCAGGTCCGATTGGCCCTCGCAAAATCTGTAGCACATAATATATTAAAGGAGAAAACGACGGTGGGGCTTATGGAAGCGCTCGCAACGATGTACAAGCAACGATGTCTAATTGGCCCTATTGATACTATCACAATTACTGTATAGTTGGACAGGTTGTATGACCGTAATCAGCAACTCGACGGGGAAAGAGAAGTTGAAGCTGAAGGAGGTGGTAGCTGTGATTCTATCCGAGGAGGTTAGAAGAAAATCGAATGAATCAGAAGGTTCAGGTTCAGCCCTAAGTCTCGAATAGAGAGGCAGAAGCCATAATAGGGGGAACCAAAACATGAATCGATCGAAGTCGAAGAAGAAGAGGTCGAACTCGAAGGTAAGACCTATCAAGGGGAAATGTTGAAACTGCGGCCAGGAGGGCCACATGTCTTCTACCTGTAAAGCACCAAAGAAAAATGAGCAGGAGGCTCATATTATGCAAGATGCATTGATTCTCGCTATGGATAGCGATTCCGATTCATGAGTCATTGATTCAGGAGCCTCTTTCCATGCCACTGCTAATAGAAGGTTATTTCAGAACTATGTAGCATGGGACTTTGGGAAAGTATACTTGGGGGATAATGAACCATGTAGTATTATGGGAAGAGGCGACGTGCAAATACAGGTGAAAGGCTCCAAGTGGTCTTTCTGAAGAACGTCAGACACGTACCGAAGTTGAAGAGGAATTTTATTTCTGTTGGCCAGCTCGGAACAGAAGGCTATGTTACAACATTCACCGGAGATTCGTAGAAAATCTCCAATGGTACAATAGTGGTTGCCCGAGGCAACAAGACAGGTACCCTCTACCTAACTTCACATGCGAGTGACACCCTCGCGATTGCTGCAGGCAATGAGAGTGCAGATCTGTGGCACAATAGGTTGGGACACATGAGTGAGAATGGTATGAAGATTCCACACTCAGAAGGAAAGCTAACCGGTATCGATTCAGTGGAAGTTGGTGTTTGTGAAGACTGCATCTTCGGGAAGCAGAAGAGAGTTAGTTTTCTAAAGGGTGGAAGACCACCTAAAGCTCACAAGCTAGAGCTTGTTCATACAGATGTATGGGGTCCAGCTAGCGTGTCTTCTCTTGGTGGTTTGGCATACTACGTCACCTTTATCGATGATCACTCGAGAAAGGTATGGGTATACTTCATGAAGCATAAGTCAGAGGTGTTTAACATATTTAAGAAGTGGAAATCCATGGTGGAGAATGAGACAGATCTGAAAGTGAAGTGTCTGAGATCAGACAATGGTGGAGAATATGAACTGGAGGAGTTCAAGAAGTTCTGTGCTGTGAACGGGATTCGTTTGGAGAGGACTACTCCAGGAACGCCGCAACAGAACAACGTAGCAGAAAGAATGAACAGAACGCTAACAGAGCGTGTGAGGAGCATGCATCTACATGCAGGTCTGCCTAAAACTTTTTGGGCGGACGCTGTGCATACAGCAGCGTACCTGATAAATTACGGACCATCAGTTCCATTGAACTTTGGGATTCCGGAAGAGGTTTGGAGTGGCAAGAAGGTTAATCTCTCACACTTGAGAGTCTTTGGTTGTGTGGCATATGTCCATATCAGTGATCATATCAGAGACAAGCTGGAAGCTAAGTCACTGAAGTGTACATTCATTAGATACGATATTGATGAGTTCGGATATCGTCTGTAGGATGAGATGAACAGGAAAATCATCAGGAGCCGAGATGTCATATTCAATGAGGAGGTGATCTACAAGGACATGGACAATGCCAAGGCGGGCCAAAGTAGTGGGAGCAGCACTACGGATGCAGACCTATTCGAGTACATGGATTTGGAGAAACTTCCAGATGGGGGAGACAACATTAATTCTGACCAAAGAACGGAGGAGACTCCAGATGCAGAATCGACTACCCAGGACGAGGAGCTTAGGATGTCATCCAGGGTACCCAAACCGAATCCCATGTATCTCTCGTCACTAGACTACCTATTTTTAACAGATAGCGGAGAACCAGAATGCTATGAGGAGGCTATGCAAGTGAGCGAATCTTAGCAGTGGGAGCATGCAATGCAAGAAGAGATGAATTCTCTTCACTCGAACGAGACATGGGAGTTAGTCCGGCTACCTGCACAGAAGAAGGCCTTACATAACAAGTGGGTTTATCAGGTCAAGCAGGAGAGTGATGGAAGGAAGAGATACAAGGCCATATTAGTAGTGAAGGGGTTCCAACAGTGGGAATGAGTTGATTATACAGAGATATTTTCCCCCATTGTGAAGCTCACAACCATCAGGGTGGTGTTGAGCTTGGTAGTTGCTGAAAATCTCTAGCTTGAGCAGTTAGATGTGAAGACTGTCTTTGTTCATGGTGACTTGGATGAAGAAATCTACATGAAGCAACATGTTGATTTTATTAAGGAAGGAAAGGAAGAGATGATGTGTAGGCTCAAGAAGAGTTTATACGGATTGAAACAGGTCCCACGGTAATGGTATAAGAAGTTTGATAATTTAATATAGAACAATGGCTATGGCAGATACAATTCAGATCATTGCTGTTACTTCAAGAGGTTCGAGTCCAGCTATATCGTGTTATTGCTGTATGTTGATAATTCAGATCATTGCTGTTACTTCAAGAGGTTCGAGTCCAGCTATATCGTGTTATTGCTGTATGTTGATGACATGTTAGTTGCAGGACCGTGTTTTCATGGCAAATCTCGTTCCTTCTTGTGAGATTCCTGTAGCGACTTATTGAGGAGAGAGAGAGAGAGAGAGAGAAGAGATTTTACTATTGTAAAATCTCGCGCCCTTATTTGAACAACAGATAGTTTTCTGTTGGTTCTGTTCTTGAGAGATCCCAAGTTGAGATCTGCTCTTTACAAGCTTTGTAATCTTCTTTAATATAAAGGAAATTATTTGTGTGGCTCCCGAGGACGTAGGTAAGTTGCCGAACCTCGTTAAAACTCGGTGTTCTTTGTTCTTGTAATTTTGATTTGTTGTGATTTTTTTTATTGCTTAACACAAGATCCGGTAGGGCAAATTCCGCAGAACGGGTGTCAGAGCGTATCTGATATTTTCCCAACAGGGGGAGGGTCAAACTTTGCGGCTTGATTGGCTGGGGTGGTTAACAATACATACTCATTATACATACGTAGACATACAAATCAAATCAGAGGAGAGAAATATGAAGGAAGGAAGAATTAATCGGAAAAAGAATTAGGTAAATAGAGAACCAAACTAGCTGTTTCTTTCCTTGCATTCTGGAGGTATCGCTGAGAATCTCTTTGCATCGTTGCAGTAGGAATAAAACATGAACTTGCTCCTAACCCAATCCATCGCAACCTTCTGCTGCTGAGAGAGCTTTATGAAATCTTGCCCATAAATTGGATCGAGACCCTGTCGGTCGTTTACATTGTTATTTGAGCATGAAGGAGACGATGATTTGGTTTGATTCCATAAGCACCCCTCCATTTCAAAATCCTTAAAGGATGCAACGAACGGTGCGAAATTGTAATTTATTGGTTTCTTGCCTCCGCGTGTTGCCCAGTCTGATCCATCCCAAATTGTCGCATAGAGTGACATTGGCTTCGAAGGGTAGGCTTTGGACATCGCAACACTGTGGTTTATCTCTCGCACAGGGATATTATCTACGAGAAACCTGCATTGAAAAGATTGTAGTTAGGCTCAGTTCAGTTTTTGTTTACATCCGCCTACACACTTGATACTCCAACTAGCTAGTTCTTCTTTCTTGATTCTTAGAAATCACAATGCGAGTATAAATTGCACGTAACGGCAGTTGCTGCAGCACCATCATATGCAATTGCAGTAGTTTGGTTCTGTTTTGAAAATTTAAGTTCAATTTGCAGTTGGAAGATTATTTTGGGCTTAACTCGGGGATTGGTTGTAATTGGAGTTGACGTTTAAGCATTTGTTTGCTACTGGAAGCAGCGGTTAGAGGCTTATGCTCAAATCTGTAGTAGCTATCGACTGCAGTTGGAGGCTTTTCAGCAAGTTCAGTTTTAGTCATGGTGAAACAAGTAACCACGACCGGTCCAAAGATCTCACTTGTTGTGCGTACGACTGCAGTTATGATCCCTAGTAATACGAAGAAGAGCTTACACAATGTGATGAGAGTTCCATAGGATGCTGTACTCATGGAAGTCTTGTGTTGGATCGAACCATAAGTAGAACTTCTCTTCTCGACCTGTGCTGACGCTTCCGTTGCCATAAACATTCGTCTGAAGCGCCCAATCTTTCCTCTTCTCATGCCCCAGCAGCTCGAAGTCTATTTCGTCATGACTTTTTGGGTAGCTTCCATAATTTGACATCTGCAACGGATTAAATAGGAATTAGATATACGGGGTTGAGCGGTATGTAAACTGGCTTTACAGGGGTTTTTGAAACCTGTATTTTAATTTCTCACCAATTAGTAATAGGATTACTACCATCTTAACGGTCATCAAAACATACTGTCAATTTAATTACAAACTACCTTATCTGTGTATTAATTAAGATTTCTTAACTGAAATCCCTACGCTAAAAGGGAAAAAAAATAAAGAAAGCATTCGCTTACATCTCAATTTTGTATGAATTTATTTCTTCCCTCGCTTAAGTTAAGAACCATCTTCTCAGTCAATTTAATTACATACTAATAAGTGCATTAAATTTTCAATAAGGCAAGAATTTCTGCTAGTGACGTAGTCAGGTTCATGTCACTGGCCACAGTCTGAAATCATCAATGAGAATGCAGCAAAAGACTTGGTCTCATGGCCCACATTATTATCCTGCTGTGCAACGGTCGGTTCGGTTCGGTTTTTACCAAAATTTGAACAACCAAACCGAACCGTCTATAATTCAAAACCAAACCGAACTGTTGCAAGTCGGTTTTGTGCGGTTCGGTTCGGTTTGTTCGGTTTTAACATCATCAAACTTCTTATCAAATAACAAACTATGTTAAAGAAAAAAATATCAACAAAGTAGGAGATTATGAAGCATTAAACACTGATATAATGATATTGTTTTCAACCCATAATGATCCAGAAAATGAGTTTAGAGTTTGAGTCTTTGACTCTTTGGAGACGGGTCGGGTAGGGTTTGAGTTCAGAATGGGTAGTATTGCCTTATATTCGGTCGGTTCGGGTTGAAAAGTTTTCAAACCGACCCGAACCGCCGTACTCATAAAACCGATTTTTTCGAATCGGTTCGGGTCGGTTCGGTTGGTTTTTTCGGTTTGGACCGAACCATGCTCAGCCCTAGGTATACGAGTATAAACTGTTCCCTAGACTCCAATGGGTATACGAGTATAAACTGTTCCCTAGACTCTAACGGGTATACGAGTATAAACTGTTCCCTAGACTCTAACGGGTATACGAGTATAAACTGTTCCCTAGACTCCAACGGGTATACGAGTATAAACTGTTCCCTAGACTCCAACGGGTATACGAGTATAAACTGTTCCCTAGACTCCAACGAGTATACGAGTATAAACTGTTCCCTTTACTCCGACTGGTGCATGAGTCTAAACTGCCCCCTTATACTCCGACTGGTGCATGAGTCTAAACTGCCCCCTTATACTCCCACTGGTGCAAGAGTATAAAGTGCTCCTTTCCTCCAACCGGTGCACGAGGCTAAACTGCTCCTTCACTCCAACTGGTGCATGAGTCTAAACTGCTCCTACCCTCCGACTGGTATACGAAGTTAAACTGCTCCCTACTCTCTTAATCCAAACACCTCGAAAGGCTAAGGATAGAGGAGAAATTTTAGCATTGAGCCTAAGAGAAACTCCTCGACAACTTACCATGCTAAGGGCAAGAGCATGGCTAGTCCAACTCAAACGGCAGTTGGTAAAGACAAATCAAGTCCGTTGATAGCTGAGGGTTTGCTCAAAATCCTAGAAGGCGATCATCAGCTGCGAGTGAAGAGATCAACTTCACCGAGCTCGTTGGAGGGCTCCTCACTCCATCTGAGCAGGGATCACTTTACAGATCTTCATATCCAAAGTGTTCCAGACCCCATGTGGTCTGATTCAGGTCTGAAAACTTTGGAGGGGGTTTTGTAGGTAATAAAAATTGCCTTCAAATCCTTATCAGAGAAGTTCAGAACAAAACTGCTAAAAACCTCGCCCGAAATAGCAAAAAGGGGAAAAACACTGATAAAAAGGGGAAAACGCAGATATCTCCCAAACCGTAAGGAATTTGGCGAAACGGAGGAAGCGAACCGAAGCCTTTGGCTCGGTTCGGATGGCTCCATCTCGTCGAGATAGGCGATTTTCATATATAATTCGTCCAATTCCGACTTACGGTTTGAAAGTTACGGCCTATTCTTCGATCCATGCTCAAGAGCTCGCCTGTAGCTCAAATTTCGTCTGCACGATTAAGACCCAAGTCTGCCTGCACACCTGAGCTCGCCTGCAGACCCAGTTCGCCTGCAGTTGCAAATCCGCCTGCAGACCCAAGTCTGCCTGCGCACCTGAGCTCGCCTGCAAACCCAGTTCGCCTGCTAGCTCGCCTGCAGACCCAAGTCCGCCTGCAGTCCCAAACTCGCCTGCAAGCTCGCCTGCAGACTCAACTCGCCTGCAGACCCAAGTCTGCCTGCAGTCCTAAGCTCACCTGCAGACCCAAGCTGCAGACTCGCCAGCTCACTGTCAACTGCCCACTTGGAGTATGGGAACAGTTACATCAGTGGTCAAATCCCACAAATCAAGGGAAAGGGCACAGTACCCCAAGACCGTCAAGCGGCCGCTCACAGTACGAACGATTGGGCAGGTGTCGAGTCGACCTGAACATTCATAAATGCAGCTCATCTCCGCTGTCTGAGTTAAGAGCCGGATCCGCCAGCACCCGGCGAGCTGTCCAAGCCCACTCGAGTACCAGGAACCCGCTTTCCCACCTCTCTCGACCTGAAGAGGGAAGACACGGTACTCCAGGCCCGCCGAATAACCGCTCACGGTACAAGTGGTCAGACAAACGCCAAATCAACCTGCACCCTCATAAATGCGACTCACCTCACTTTTCCAAGCGAAGGGTGAGAGCCGCCGGCGCTCGGTGGTTGGTCAGATCCACTCGAGTATCTGACAACCGTCGTCACACATACGAGGAGGGGCTTTCCCGCTCCTACTTGACGTGATGCCAAACACGACTCCTCGAATGACCGCTCATGGTACAGATGAACAGCAGGATATCTCTGAACAATGTATGGTCACATCCCATGATCCAAGGAGCGGCCACGCCTTCTCTCCTCTATTTAAGAACCTCGCCCGGCTACAGGAAAGGGGTTCACACATAGTTAATTGATTAATTTAATCTGTTAACTGAACCACTGGCTCTCGACTCCCAACGGAGTCAACGAAAAGCTCTCTGCATCACTTTTGCATTACAGTGCCGCTTCCTAGTTCTGAGCCCCGATCGCCGGTGAACTAGAAGATCCGAATTCTATCGACTTGAGCTTCTACTGGATTTTTTCGGATCGGTTCGGGTCGGTTCGGTCGGTTTTTTCGGTTTGGACCGAACCATGCTCAGCCCTCTGCAGCCAACCAAAACCCAGGCTGAGACCGCAGCAAAAGATGGCAAGCTGGAGATTTCTCTACAGGTTCTGGCCTTCTAGGTTTTGAGTAGCGTTCTATTATCATTAAAGAGACCAGGAGAAAGATCCTAATCCTATCAATGTCAGTATTACTAGTAGTAGTGTTGGTACAATTGGGGAACTAAGCACAACGTGAAGCTGTCTCCAGCACACACCAGTCCTTTTGTGTGGGCTAAATCTTATTCTTCCCTTTGCTGCCAAGGGCCTGAGTCTTTGGTCTCCTTGAACAGAATTGGAGGGTAAATTTCACAGTACAAACCTTAGCAATTTGTAAGATTAAAAAATGTTTTGAACTTTCAAAATCATACCAAATCTCTTAAACTACTGAAAATGTCATAGCTATTTCAATTAATAGCGTAACAAGTTTTTTTTTTTTTTAAAGAGAGAATAGAGTAATAAGTTTGAATTATGACAAATGAAACTTGGTGATGAGAATTTTGAATGAGGAGCATTCATGTGGGAGAACAAGACACAGTGATCATGTCACAATTTTCGATTTTTTATTTGCCAACATATTTTATGAGATTTTCCAATTGTGCGAGGGGCTTTGTTTAACTTTGAAAGTCAGCGGAGTTAATAGATAGGCTGGGGGTCTGTGTGATATATACCCATCCTTTTATTCTCAAAAAAAAAGGGGAAACTTTGAAAGTCAGTGGGTTTTCTCTCCTTCATAAAGTACAAGGGGTTTTATGCATAATCCTTAAAGATTCGGCTAATAAGGTTTAAAGATTCGGCTAATAAGGTTATCTGAAATTTACCCTAGAATCTCTCTCTGTTCCAACTTTAATTCTTACCAATGGTAAAAATGAAGGTAAAACTAAAATATGTCAGTTGCCACAGGCTTGCAACATGTTGTGGTAGGTCCTCAGAAATAAATTATAACAAATGGGAAGCTAACTTTATAAAACATTAAAATAGGACGACTCCTTCGGTATCCAATTAATGAACAGAAATTTAGAAAAACTTCTTGTTTAACTTGGTTTTTGGATGCTACGGCAGTGAAGCCAAGGATCATTAGTCTTTAGATTAAATCTGCTGACTTCATCTGACTAGAAAAGAAAAATAGTAGATGATAGTGATTGCTAGCAAGGTCCTGAGCTCAAGCTGGTACCCAAAATATACACAAATACATTTCTTCGGTTGAACTAATAAAAGTTCTTCATTTTAATAGCGTTGGTCAAATTAGCATCACTCTCTTCCATTTGAGAAGCATCACATGTAGACATTTAGCAATATTTTCTTATATATATTGGAAAGTTTGATGGGAAGGTCATTGTCAATAAAACTTCAAATTAATGTATCATATGATGAGGTTTCCTCGTATATATACAATGATGTTGCTCAATATTTTTCTTTATATGTATTTCACACGTTCTACATTTTTATATATAGGTGTCTACAATTTCATTTCCTAATTTAAGCTCTTGGAACACACAAAAATAAAACTAAAAGACGTAAATAATTGAGATGGGTTTCCATAATTCTTACATAGAAAGCCACCACAACTCCCGCAGAGTAAGTTGAAGGAAGCTTGATGGAAGCACTAAAGAATCCGTAGTAGTACGGATCTCTCGACATGAACCCCGAACCTATTAGCGCTTAAAAACATTGCCCATAGTTAAATTTCTATTGACGGGGGGGAATTAAAAATATTCCAAATTTATTTTATGAAACAAAATAACAAATAATTTCACCCGTGTGCTTGTCAAGCGCAATGGTAACAACCGACCCGTTACCGGCCCGCTTGATGTTTTGTCCTCCGAAGAAATCGGAGAAGGATTTATCGAAGGTCAGGCGAGGGAAGAGACCGGTGAGTCGTGTCGTGGTCGGTGGGCTGAGCCCGTGGCGGGTCGATCCGGCGATCGTCGAGCACGTGATCAGGCTGGCAAGGAGCAAGAAGAACTTGTAGTTGTAGAGGAGGGAATGCATTTTTAATTCTTTATGCTTGAGGTTTATATTAGTAGAAATGAGCAAGAAGGAGGGTATTTATAGTGAGCAGTGAGGGTGGGTGGAGTTTAGTCCGGGCCATATCTCATTGGGTCCAGAATCCAAACACCTACACATTTTGTGAGCTACAATTATTGGACTAATGATGCCGCACCGATTAATCTAGTAAGGACAACGTCAATATTTTCAACTTCTCGACTCAAACCTGGAAGGAATTTTATAATTTTACGCGACTTTTAAGGATGTTTTGTTCGCTGTAAATTGAAGATAGTTGCAATTGCAATTGCGTATAACTGAGCATTATTAGGGTTGTTTGTCACTATACAACTAATAAATGTAATTGCAATGGCAACGTACAGTAAAACATTATCTAGTTATGCTGCAAATAATACTCATGTTACAGCTCCCAAAATTCCAAAATCTAACATCATGCATGTAACAAGCATATGTACCAATAGTATTTAGAAATTTGGAAAATTTTAAAACTGAACCAAATAATTTTGTGAGCCATAACGATTACAGTAACTGAAGTTGCATTTACATATTGTAAGAATTAACAAATAAAAAGGGAAGAAAAATATGTTTAGGATCTTTTAATTTGGATCATAAAGGTAGGTGAAGGGTTTGTTTCGGGGCTGTTCAGCGTCCGTGTCTACGTACTGAGAATTATTAAGAAATTTGAGGGCATGCCAGTTTTAGGCCAGTTTCATACAGCTGGGGAGGCTTCATTGCCTTGGCTTTGTCTACAGCTAGCTGCAACTGGACACCACTGTGTCAAAGAACTGAATCCTTGTCCATTTGTGCACTTTGGATGGGACTTCTGATTTTGGTTTCTTTCTAACTATAGTTAGACACTTTGATAATAGTTATTATTTCATTTTAGTTTCTTTATAACTATAGTTAGACACTTTGATAATAGTTATTACTTCATTTAATTAAAGGTGATTAACTTATCTTTGTTGAAACCTAAATCGAGAGAAGTTTCAAGAACTTTATTAGGTGGTTTAGATTCAAGAAGGAGATTAATGGGTATCCTTTGTTGGGGAAATTCAGTCTCCCCGCATACCACGATATGCGCAACTCGGAAGCCAACCCCAATCAATAAGATAGAACAACCATAATCAAGAAAAAGAACATCGAGATTTACGTGGTTCGGTCGACCAACTTCGACCTATGTCCACGGGGCAACAATACGAGAAATTCACTATGTATCAGGGAGAACTACAAGAAGAACTACTCAACTCTCGTCTCTCAATCTCTCAACCTCACATACATAATCAACTTTCATATTCTCTCCAAAGCCCACTCCTTGTAATCTTTTGCACGGATAAAGACTACGAAACCCTCTCTCTCTCTCATCTACTACATCTCTACTTTTTCTTCATGGTTTTTCCTCCACCAATAGAAGAATATATATAGGGAAACCAAAACCCTATCTCTAGCCTAACTTCCTAATTAGAATAAGATTCAAACTCCCAATCATGATGGTACCCAAACTCCTAATCATGATAGATCTCTAACCTTATCTAATTCTCATGAAATTACACAAAGAATCAAAGACAAAATCCCAATAATCTCCACCTTGGATTTGATTCCCAAACTCCATTGAAGATATATCATCGTCGTCTTGAAACTTTGTCTCTCTCGCTAGAGTCTTCTATTTCTTTCACACTTCAAATCAGAATACCTGCACTCCCAATTGGATGCCTTCATGATCCTCACTATCTTCTGCTTCGCCGTGACGCCTCCACCTCTCTTGTTGTCCTTGTGCTCCACCTGCATCGCTCGTCTCAAATCATATCGGTGCACCTCTCCTACTCCACACTACGAGCCGGATGCATCTATCTCCTTCATTACTTAGCTTGGACTGAATATGAGCGCTCACCATCTTCAAGTCCAACGCCACCATCTTCATCTCCATGTGTGTCACTCGGTCGTGCTCGCTTGCAAGCTCCTGTTAATTTGGGGGTGGATACCAACCTCCGCCGGCGAGGAGCTCCGACGAGCTCGAGGATGATGCAGGCGAAGCTGGAGGTGAGGTTCAGGCGAGCCTCAGGAGCTCAGACAAGCTTGAGCTCTACGTTCGAACCCCCCCCATTAACCTCGGCGTTTATGGCGAATTCGACCCTGGCGTTTTTGGGATCCGACCTCGGCGTTTGGCTCCCACCATCGCGTCCGTAGGCCGCTGGAGACAGGCTGTCGCCAGCCCATCCAACTCGCCTATAAAAGTAACCTCAATGCCCTAGGGTTTGGTGGCTTTTTCCCCCTCCGAATTTTTCTTCTGTCGGCGACGAACTGCCCTAAAACCGCAACAGCGATTTTTACATCTCCAGCTCTCAACAGAACTTTGAGGGGAGATTTAAAAAAGAGATTTAAGAAGAGAGAGAGAGATCATTAAAGAGGGGATTAATATTGGGGGTTATTCATTTATTCTCAAGAGAGAATTGAAAGGGATTATTCCCTTTAATTATTAACACTGTAGCTACAATGTTCATTTGAGAAATCTCAGTTTAGGATTTGCTCTTAAATTATAATTTCTTGTTTGATTAATAAGAAATTTACTGTGTGGCTCCCGAGGACGTAGGCAGTTGCCGAACCTCGTAAATCTTGTGTACTGTTCTCTATTCTGCGTTTCTGTTGCATTAGGGATTTAGACGTTAAATTCCCAACAACTGGTATCAGAGAGTGAAACGATCTAGAGGAAGTCAGATTCAAGTGGGAGCCATGGCAGCAGATGAAGGAAAACTGAGACTTGAGAAATTTGATGGAACAGATTTTGGATTCTGGAAAATGCAGATAGAGGATTATCTGTATCAGAAAAATCTGTATCAACCACTATCGGGGAAGAAGCCGGATTCTATGAAGGCAGATGAGTGGAACCTTCTAGATAGACAAGCCCTCGGAGTTATCAGATTGACGTTGACTCGCAATGTTGCGTTCAACATAGCGAAGGAGAAGACCACGACAGGTCTTATGGCAGCACTCTCAAACATGTATGAGAAGCCATCAGCCGCGAACAAAGTTCATTTAATGCGGCGGTTATTCAATCTGAAAATGGCGGAAAGCGCGTCAGTAGCACAACACCTCAATGAACTTAATACGGTTACAACCCAATTGAGTTCAGTTGAGATTGAGTTTGATGAGGAAGTTCGGGCGTTGATACTTTTGTCTTCCCTACCAGAGAGTTGGAACGCTACAACAAGTTGAAGTTCGACGACGTTCGTGATTTGGTTCTCAGTGAGGAGATCCGACGGAGAGAGACGGGTGAATCTACAACCTCTTCAGTATTGCATACAGAGTCAAGAGGTAGAAATTCAACCAGAGGAAACGGACGAGGAAAATCAAACTTCAGAGGTAGATCAAAGGACATGAGGTCCAAGTCAAGGAATCCAAGCAACAACTCGAAGGCTATCGAGTGTTGGAATTGTGGAAAGACCGGGCATTACAAGAATCAGTGCAAGAGTGCACAGAAGGAGAATGAGGCAAAGGCAGAGGTGAATGTCACCTCCACTTTAGGAGGAGACGACGCATTGATATGCTCTTTGGAGAGCAAGGAGGAATCTTGGGTGTTAGATTTCTTATGGCAGCACTCTCAAACATGTATGAGAAGCCATCAGCCGCGAACAAAGTTCATTTGATGCGGCGCTTATTCAATCTGAAAATGACAGAAGGCGCGTCAGTAGCACAACACCTCAATGAACTTAATACGGTTACAAACCAATTGAGTTCAGTTGAGATTGAGTTTGATGAGGAAGTTCGGGCGTTGATACTTTTGTCTTCCCTACCAGAGAGTTGGAACGCTACAGTCACGGCAGTGAGGAGCATAAGTTGAAGTTCGACGACGTTCGTGATTTGGTTCTCAGTGAGGAGATCCGACGGCGAGAGACTGGTGAAGCTACAACCTCTTCAGTATTGCATACAGAGTCAAGAGGTAGAAATTCAACCAGAGGAAACGGACGAGGAAAATCAAACTACAGAGGTAGATCAAAGGACAGGAGGTCCAAATCAAGGAATCCAAGCAACAGCTCGAAGGCTATCGAGTGTTGGAATTGTGGAAAGACCGGGCATTACAAGAATCAGTGCAAGAGTGCACAGAGAGAGAAGGAAGCGAAGGCAGAGGTGAATGTCACCTCCACTTCAGGAGGAGACGACGCATTGATATGCTCTTTGGAGAGCAAGGAGGAATCTTGGGTGTTAGATTCAGGAGCGTCGTTCCATGCTACCTCTCAGAAAGAATTATTCGAGAAGTATACCCCCGGAAATCTTGGATACGTATATCTTGGTGATGATCAACCATGTGCTATTGTGGGAAAAGGTGTGGTGAAAATTAAGTTGAACGGGTCTGTATGGGAGCTGAAGGATGTCAGGCATATTCCCGACCTGAGAAAGAATTTAATATCCGTAGGCCAGTTGGCTGGCGAAGGATATACCACGATCTTCCATGGAGATGATTGGAAGATCTCAAAGGGCGCAATGACGATTGCCCAAGGCAGGAAGACTGGTACCCTATATATGACAGCAGGTGCACATTGTTTGATCCCAGTTGCAGCAGGCAATGAAATTTCAAAGCTGTGGCACCAGAGACTCGGTCATATGAGTGAAAAGGGGATGAAGATCATGCACACAAAGGGAAAACTCCCAGGACTGCAGTCAGTGGAGATGGATATGTGTGAAGAATGCATACTCGGAAAGCAGAGGAGAGTCAGCTTTCAGACAAGTGGCAGAACCCCCAAGAAAGAGAAACTAGAGCTTGTTCACTCAGATGTGTGGGGACCAACAACCACCGCGTCCATTGGTGGGAAACACTACTTCGTGACTTTTATCGATGATCACTCTCGGAAAGTGTGGGTCTACTTTCTGAAGCATAAGTCAGAAGTATTTGAGGTTTTCAGGAGATGGAAAGCTATGGTCGAGAATGAGACCGGTCTGAGAATAAAGAAGCTTAGGACCGACAATGGCGGTGAGTATGAAGACATCGGATTCAAGAAGTTCTGGTATGAGCACGGGATCAGAATGGA